CTTGTCCCTGTAACAGTCCGACAGCTACGAAGTGCTGACGAGTCCATGTGCTTGGCTCGGATGATAGTAAATGGGCGCTTTAGTCTTTCGCATCTTTCACGTTTTGGGCAAGACGTGACAGACGTGAAAGACGCATTTTAGCCCAAGACACAGAAAGTCGATTATAAGGCACTCATTCCGAGACAGTGGAATGAAACGATCCCGTAGATTCAGGTGCAATCCGAAATTAAGAGTGAGACCCGACATTTCAGACGCCGTTTAGGGATGGACCTTGAAGCGCTCGGCATGCTTCGAAGATTGGCGAAGGACGTCGACGCGAAGGATCGAGGTCTAACCAAGGGTGTTTGCAATACTTTTCAACTCGACGCTGTGAGTGGCTATGATGTCTGAGACAGACCAACCTTGGCTGCAGAGGCCATCAACGCGAATAAAAGAGGTGAATATACCTCTAAGTCTCAGAGAGAACGGTAGCCATTTTTTCCCGGAGTTGAAAGAGCACGTTTGTATTACGCAGGGCAGTCAAACTGGAGCACCTTTGAACAAGATCTGAGTGTCGTAGCCTGATTTGGTTCACGGTCGGAAGTACAGGGGGCTGCCGGTAGTGAGCATCGCCCTCAGCGGAAAATAAGCGAGGGTCTACGGATAAATCGTGTATCACCGCAATTAATAGTGTGCAACTTATCTAGTAGTGTACGCGACTCTGATGTCTGCAAAGCCTACGCGTTATAGGACATGGCGTCGCGATCATCCGCCCATAGACGTGCATACTCGAGCGCGAGACGATAGACGTACACTGCGCAAATTTGTCGTTAGCGCAGAGGTCAAAAGAGTAGAGGCGACATACCCTCCATGTCCACCGTACGGCCTGTGGTCTGCTTCCAATGCTTCCCGGCCCGCGCGATCCGTCTGAGTCGGCGATCTCCCTCCTGCGCAGCACCCCGTAGCGGGGCGATCGAGGGGTCTACCTGAGGGTTCTTGTGGTCCACCGGAGATTCGCTCCCCACATCCCGCCGTATTGGGCCGTCCTGCGAGTAAATAGACGGAGGATTGTATGGCGAGCCACGGAAGGAGGCATCACTGGAGAGGTTCGCGGCGCGCAGTGCGGCAGGCGGGGGTCCGGAGAAGTAGGACACGACGTTGTAGATCTCCGTGTATGCGGCGGAGAGGGGGATGTAGTGCACCCTGCAGATGAGAATGTCAGTGCAAAGCGACCGGGACAGTCTCGACGAGAGTGACGCGTCTTCCACGACCCAAAGATGAGATTAAAGACCCACGCACCATGGCTCGATCCAATCGTTAAAGAACTCGTCGTACACGGTGGCCTTCACCGGCACGCTGTCGCTCGCAAGGAAAGCCATGAAGCGCCCACTGTAGCCCATCCCATCGAGGTCGAGGAGGTATCTATGCACAAAAGCTCAGCTCAGCATCCGACGATGACACTCATACGCACTTGTACCCCCACGACACCCCCAACTCGACGGAGTCTCCAAATCTATGCGCTTTGCTGACGGGCACCACGGATCTCACAAACGCCGTGTCCATCACGTCGGCGTTCAGCGCCGAGAGTGGGACCGGCACCGTGGTGTACGCTGCCGGATCGGTATAGGCGACCTCGTCTGAAATTGCGGAGAGTCAGTTCTCTCTATGCGGGAGTAAACAAAGGAGCGAACGTACCCGGGGGACTGGATGTGAGCGACGAGCCCGCATCGACGGAGGTCTCGGGGAGTGGCTGGGCTGGGATGACGAAAGTTACAGCGGTGCTGCGCTGTGCATCAGCGGCTGTCCCAGGGACGAGTCCGACGGAGGACATGTGTAGGAATCTGTGAAAGTGAGCGAAGACCAGACCTGAGGGGATACGACGCACCGGTGTCGCTGATACCCCGACCCAAATCCTGGCGGGCTGCTCCCACCCCCTGTGCTTGCGCCGCGCCACCTGCAGGAATATTGTCAGTGTCAATATTGCGGGCTACGTCGAGGCGATCGAGGGAGCGCGAATAAGGGCAGGCTGCAGCGCGAAGATTAATACGAGTAGAGCATTTTCCTCACTCTACGCAGAGCCGCCACGGAAGTTAAACGTAACCACGCACCACACAGCGTCGCGTTTCTTCTCCCAAGGAACCTCCATCGGGTCTACCGCACGCTGCTCAAGGTTAATGGGGTCCCAGGCGTAGGTGTACCTGGAGGCAAGGCTTCAGCGCCACGAATACGATTGAGAGGGATGAAGATACTTACCTCCGCGTCCCGCCATAATAATAGTGGCTTGGGATCCGGATGTCACGAAAGCCCCGCGCGCGGGCGGGGGAGAAGACGGGCGCGAGAGCGGGGAGTACGCGCCAGTCGGAGAAGAAGTGACCTGGAGTGGCGAGGTCAGCGGATAATGAGGACGGGTGAGGCGAATAAAGATGAGAGGTAGGTACGAAATACTATGATAAAATATGAAAGAGGGACGGTGAAGGGAAGAGGGGAGTAATAAGGATGGAAACGGCACCGGAAGTAAAGTGGAGATAAGAAAGGCACGGAATCCCACCTTGCTCGTAATGTGCAGCCGGCGCCGTGCAAAAGTCCATATCCGCACCCGTCTTATGCACAAACTCGAACTCGCCGCCCTGTCCCGGCACGCCCACACTCCCACTATTTGTCTGCGTATGTTGGTCACTGGCTGAGTCGCCTGCAAGATGCGCGTAGTACGTCTCCGCCAGTCGATCATGTCCTCCGCGCGCACCAGCCCACCCCGCGCCACGCGAGCTGTAAAGGCGCCGCGCAGGTGAGGTGGGGGGGCAAGTTCGTCGCCAGGCGTCCCAGACGGAGCCCGCGCCGGCCCAGTCTGCTCGGAAGGTCGTAGAGGAGAGCAGGGTCTCCGCTGTAGAGAGCAAATATGAGTTAGCATTTTGGGGGGCGGAATTCACGGGGAGAGGATTTACCCGACGCGTCGACTTCCTGCGTCAAATTGGGGTAGTTGACGTGCTCCCAGGGTACAATTACTCGCCCCTCCGCCTTCGCGTTGATTGGGAAGTCCACATCGGGGAGCTGCAAAAAGTTAGTTTTTTTTTTCGAAAAGGGAGAAAAAGGAAAGCACCCTACCTCACGCACAAATTTAGTGAGCATCGCTTTGAACCCCTTAGCGCGTGCACTGACCTCGTCGTCCTCCCACCCCTTGGCCAAATTCACTGTCCGCGCCTCCCCATTGCGCACGCGCACCAAATCAATACTCGGTAACGCGATAACAAGCGCCGCGCGTCGCCGCACCTCCGCGCCACTTAGTTCCCAAAACGGGGCCAAATCCTCGACGACAGAATCGAACTCGTCGATCATGACAAAGTGGTTCTTCATCGCGAAGGCGTACCACTTGTCGAATCCGCGGGGCGGCGCGCGACCGTGTCGTTTTTTATATTCAATTACAGCGACCTCTAGGGTAGTGCTCTGACGAGCGACTTTGGCACGAAATCGCGCCTCTGCGGCGTCCATAAGCCCAGGGATCGGATGCGGCGCGTCCATGACGCCGATCAGTGGTATCCACGCCTTTGCTCTTGCTGCAAAGGAGGCAGATGCGGAATTTGGACGCGAAGGTTGAACGCGTGCCGCTGCATGTAGTCCAAGGCGTACAAAAGCGAGAAAAACCACCAGAATGAATATAGAACCGCGGTTTTTGTGAAACCATCCATAAACCGCCCGTCGCCGTAGCCGCCGCCTTTGCGAGCGCACATCCGTTTCATTCACGCCAGCTTGAAGGTTGTCCGAGAAGCCGGACGCGCGTGGCAAGTCGTCGGGAACGAGATGAAGCTCGTCGGTGCTGCCGGCACTGCTGCTCCTTTGGGACAAGTTGCAGCTGTTTGGATCCAAGGACAACGGGCAAGTTCGCGCACCTCTTTCTTGCCACCGTGTCTTCCACCAGCCTGAAGCCCTTTTCAACGTCTGGGGACAGATTCATTGCCTGTGCGGAGACACTGAGATGGCGGAACCTAGGACAACAGGTGGTGTATTTGTGGGTCCGAACACGGGGTTTACCTGCTAGAGCGATTTATACTTGCTTCTCGATATCCTACGTCCCCGACCCCATGATCACCAGGTTTGAATGGCGCGGCGCCCCGTGTGGCTTTGGTTCCCACCAATTCTAGTTATCTGCTCTGCTTCTCTGACGATATGTACGGCACGCCCATCCTCGGCCGTTCTTTCTCTTTGATATACTCCTCCTTTCCTGGCTTGAGATGCACTTGACCACCATCGCAACATTGACTTTGGCTCGGCGTTGAACACAACAACGGCTAAGCGCTAATCACCTGCTACAAATCTCCCGCTATTTAATAGCGAGGTACACATCTGCGTACCTGCTGTCCGGAAACGGCCGTTTACGCAAGAGCTCTGTATCTCCGCTAGCCTTAATTCGCGGAAATTAACTTAGAATCGACCTGAGGCCGCTCTTGCGCTCCCTCGGCCTGTATTTCAAGCACGGATTGACCGTGTTAGATAACCAGAATAGTAACCCGGTACCGAGGTTCTCCACCTCAACTTATTCTTACTGCCAGTCCGCACATGACCTCGGTCCCTAAAGTCTTCGAATTCTGGCTTACTCCACTTACTAGTATTCAGGACATCGCTGTCTGACTGGAACAACGACTTCCATTGGATGCTCCCATCAACTGCCAGATTCTGCTTCGCGTGACGTCTTTCATATCAAGGTCGGTTCCGACGATATTGTAGTCCAACGTCCTTGCTTACTCTAGACACTTTAGTTTCCACCAACCCTAATTACAGCTCGGATTGTCCCTTCTCACCTCCTTTCTAGCAACCGCGCACCCTGCGCAATCGAAATGGGAACGGCGCAGAAGACAGGGTACAACCAATGTGCAGGAGGCCCAACTATTAGTCATGTTTTATACCGTGAGCAGGTGGAAGAAAATGCGTCCAAGTTCAACATCAGAAGTTTGGACCCGATTTTCCCCTAAAATCGCTTCGCCCCAGTATTTTCTTACCGAGATGTGAAGGACATTATTAACATTGTTGGTTGGATGGCCGAGCGGTCTAAGGCGCTAGAATCAGGCACTTCATCGCCAGATAAATAATCTAGTCTTTCGGGGCATGGGTTTGAATCCCATTCCGATCATATACGCCTGCTTTTTTGCCATTCTCGAACAAACACAATGTGAGCAGTCACCTAACTATCCATAACAGCTCGTTGTGGCTCTGGTACGCAGGACTCATCTGCAGGCTCGGCCTTTAGACCAAGCAAGCACACGCACGATCCTTCGGCTTGGCCCCGCCCCCACCTCTCCCCTCAGTCAGAAACACTAGTCTAACTGTCGCTGCACGAAAAATCTTGGTCCCACCATTCAAATACTATTGCTTCGCGAGAAATACTCCATACCCGACCCTCGCTCCACTAAAAATAGCCTTCTCGCCCGACCTGATTCTCGCTGCGCTCGGGGTCGAGCTCACACCGAGGGCAGCAATCGGTTGCTAGCTCGTATGTAACCCGAATTTTTCGTAACGCTCCTCAGGCGGTTGCTACAATACAAGTTGGTGCAGGTACAGTATTCAGGCGCGGGCAGAGGGCAGAGAAGACCCAATGGTGGACGGTTTCGCGCCTTAGTGTAATGGAGCTGACAGAGAAGAAAATTAAACAGGTTACCCGTTCAATTCGGGGTCAGGTCACTAGGTATCCGTCCCGTTCTTTTTCTTTGTTATCCCGCCTACTATATATATATTCAGCAACACCCTTCCCCGACATTGTTGTTCATCCAGAGCAGAATAGAAATATGATTTTGCATCTGGGTAGAAAGATAATAATGAACTTGTGTAAAGAGGAATTTGAACAGCTTGATTAGGGGCAGTCAGAGTAGACGATTAACCCCCGATTAACGCCACGATTAAAGGCCGATTCAGTCACGATTCTGGAATTAAAAAAGGCCCATAATCGTGCTGAATCATGTGAAAATCGTCTCCAATTTTGACCGCCCCGATTCAGGAACGATTCTCGTGCGATTATTGTGTACGATTCTAGGGTAAAAATAAAGTCAAACTAAATTCAAATTTAACATAACATCCCCTCTCTGTCTCATGCTGTTGGAGTACTAGAGTTCAAGGTATTTGTAACCATTCTCTTCAGACTGAAGAGATCGGTACTCTCAACATGACCCCTAAACTAAGCACAGCTTCGCCAGTTCCGATCGGGACATGACATGGCTGTGCAAGCAGTGGGGCAATGTGCCTCGTTCTTCAAGACGCGACTACAACATAAACAGTGTAGCCCGCGTGCCGCGGCAGAGCCCGCTATGTAAGTCTAGCGTCGAGTTTATATTTACCTCGGTGCACAACATTTCTGCTCTCATCTACATGTCAGTTCAACGTCCTATGCTCTCAACTTCGAACCTGAAGACCGGCGACTTGTTTCATACAGCCCTCACATGAATTGACAGGTATAGTGTATCCTTAAACCATTCTAGGTCCTTGAGCGACGAAGACACAAGGGGTTGGAGATTGTGCGAAGGGCTCCACAGGACCAGAGGTATTCCTTGCTACACCGAGACTCTATGCGACTGCGAGTACTAATTTTCGTACGCTAGGCACACCATCCACACGGCTGGGTGCCACACCCTCCGATCGACGTTGGAAAAAGAAAATCGCCCTTCTGAAAGTCCAGCGCCCACATGCAGTAGTTCTGGTAGCGATTAAAAAAACAAACATGTCACCCCAGGTCATTGACTCACCCTCGTCTTGCCCACGTTCTTATCGAGTCGCTTCATCGTGCAGCAGAAGGCGATGCCCTCACCGGCTATCAAGGACCTGACGCGATCTGACCTTTCTGCGCGGCAGTGTCTGAATAGCACCTGCGAATCCCGTCGTCAGCCAGTGGCATTAGTTTTTAAACCCACTCACATAGAAACAGTCGTCTTTTGGCCCACATCCATCGAAACAAGCGCTCAAGTCTAACCAGGAATCACCGACGTTGCCGTCCAGGTCGGAATCGGCATCCAAAATTCCACGTAAACCTCTCAATTGTTCTCCATACACGCGTTTTCCTTCGCAGGCACTGTTGGACGGCGCGCGAACCCTGAGGCAAATAACTTGGCACGAAACTTCGAAGTAGCACCATCGCTACAGTACGGAAAAAAAACGGGTTAGCGTCGCGGGTTTCCCCTTTTCTCTTTGGTTGCTTACTGGTTCCGACACCCAGTCGACTTCTCCCACTAAGATATTGATTCGCGACATCCGCCGAGGCTGGTGCTCCCAACCCGGTAATAGGGGATCGTCCTCCAAGAAACAGAAATTACATCCGGTTTTCCCGGATGACTCCCTTACAGCCGCGAAGTCAACCCCGTACTCGACGGCCGTCAGCGCCAACCGCCCAGCCTGTTCCAGGTGCTGAAGCAGCAACATCACCGTTTTGCGCAGAAAGCAGAGGCGGGGTCGATCACTTGACCCATCCCTATACGACCCCTCTTCACAACTTTGTTCAGTGGACGACTCCACCGGAGAAGAAAGGAGGCATTCACGCAGTAGTACGCGCTCGACTCAGAGAGGTCGTTTAACCATTTGTAGAAAGCCTCAACACAGCGAAGTTGCTACCCCTGCTTAACGTTCTGTTTGCTACAAATTTTGCAAGAAAACCCGACGCGAATATCGCACGCATAACTCTGCCCGACCCTGGGGATTTCGTCAGGGTCGTACAATGTCGACTCGACTACGGCCAGTTCGTAACCCTGAATGAACACCGATTTCAGCGGGCGGTGTAAGAAGTCGCAGCACCGACCTTGACAACACCTCCAGCCGGATGATGATCGCGACGCTCGAGAACCAACTTGCAACATAATATTTTCCCTACGACTTCAGGTACGTCGTATAGTTCCTTTACAGCGGCACTTTCTCCTTCTGTTGTAGGACGAATCACGATCTAGGAGCACAGAAGATAATCCGTAAAAAATTCAAAGAAACGATGCTCACAAAGCGAATGACTCACGTAAAAATGGCCCTTCTTGGGGTGCAAACAGATATCTTCGCGCACCACATAAAACCAACAATCGACGACCTTCCCAGGCTTTTGACCATCAGGACCTGCGTAAATCCCACGAACGACCACCTACCAAGGTGAGCTCGTCGGCGTCGATAATATTTCTCAAGGTACCGAGCTGTTTGCGATAGAGATTGATACTTTTACATGTAGCGTTTGTCGGCGGTCCCAATCGGATGTAGTAAGTCTGATCATCCTTTAACCCCCGAGTCGCCATCAGCTTGCTACATGGACAGCCAAGTTAACTCACCACAGAATGCACTTGCCTGATTTCACCGAAAGCCAACGTCCTGAACTCCGGCAACAATTTTCTCTCCTCACAGTGGAGCTCGATTTCTGCTGATATGTTTGATTTGAAGTCGTACACAGACTCGAAGCCGTCGGTTCGCTCCCTGACCGCGAAGAAGTCCCGGTTGTAGACGGTTTTAGCGAGCGACACACGGCTAGCTTTGAGATTGGCCAGCATGGTGACAGACGAAGAGAGCGTCCGAGCCCCTAGCGTAAAAGGGTGTTTGATCAATTCTGTCCCTTTATCTTAAACCTCCGCACAGGTTAACAGCAGCTACCGGAGCCTTTGCCAGTGTACACGCAGTCGCCACAGCGGAAAAATCACGTTCATAGACAGTCTTAGCCATCGTTCAGCCTAGCAAGCATATCACCATGAAGAAGGAAGGAACGAAGCGTCACTCGAGACGACTAGTTGCCCGGACAAACCCAAGTGGGTTTAAAGTGTAGCCGTATTACACTCAGTTCCAGAGGAGCAACCACACATGCTCGTGTCGATAATGCAAAACCGGTTCATTCTAGCGACTGACAAGCTCCACATTCCGGCCTAATTTCAAGGGACACACACATAGCATCCCAATGACCCGTTTACATCACAGACATATCCCGGCCCAAGCACCCCATGTTCGGAAGCGCAAGTTTGCAGGCTTACTAGTTCCAAATGATAAGACTATTTTCTTTTCTTCTCAGCTAAAGTTACGGATGCACCGGAAATAGAAACTTACCCGTTCCAAATTATCACGGCTTGATTCGTTCTTGTGGAATCGATTGAGAGTCACCTTACAGGCAACCAGAGAACCGATTTCCAATTTCTCCGCGAAGCCCTGCACCAGACGCGTACGGACGACGACCTCAGTTGGATTGGAATTCGACTCGGAGCCAGAAGGAATCCCATCGTTCTCCAAAAACGATTTGGTAATCACCCCCCCCCTTGACGAAAGGTTAACCAAGGCATAAAGCTGACTATTTACCCACCCATTGTATAGTGTCACTTTCGACGACGTGGCGCAAGGCTGACACTTGCATGTTCCACATATCGACGAGAGCGCACGAAACCCCTGCGGGACACCTGAGATGGACAACCGTCATCTGCGAGTTCTGAAACGCGCAGTCAGAACTGTCTAAGCCCATATCGCGCAAGTAAAACAGTACACACCGAGTCATATGCGAAAGCTACCTCGCCGAAAACGTTGCCCACATAATCCCATTGAAATTCTTTGCATTCGACGTCGACCTCCGTGTCCAGCTCAGGTAGCGCCTTGAAAGAATACCGAGAACCCCTGCTAACGCTGCATTGACGGACGGCGGCGAAGTCAAAGTCGTATAGAGCCAACGCCACGGTACGGTGTCCATACGAGCACATTCGGGACAGCATGACGGGGGAAGTAGGATGTGTTACAGGAGGGCTTTAGACACAGGAGTCGGTTGTTTCAGATCGAGCACGGTGAAGCTAAGAGAGAAACAGGTGATGCAAAAGTAATTAACAAAAGGCGCAATCGCCTGGCCCAAAGTCGCACTCGTACCCAGCGCCCTTGACCTCGTCCGCTGAAGTTCGAAGTAGTACCAAGAAGTTCGCCAGCAACTTATACTCCTGTCCAACGCCTTTTCAGATTCACCTGGGTAAGAAAGGCTGTCGTGACTTACCCGGCACAATTTTCCAACACCTTCTAATTCTCTGCGCTCCATCACGACCCAGGTCCCCACGAGGGAGCCCATTTCCACATCGTCGATGTCCCGCCCCATGAGTTCATTCCCCGTGTAGCGGATCTACCCAAACGAGTGAACGCTCAGCGCGCGTGGAAGCGAGGGCA